GTCCATCAATGTCCGGGGCTTTATCGTTACCCATCTGAGTCAGGCCTGTGTAAAGTTCCCCCAATGAGAGTGGCTTGTCCAACCCCTAGGTCTATTCTGGTGTGATTGTCTTCTCCAGGTAGGCCATCATTCGTTGTCGTGTTGTTGAGTGGGCTGAGGGGAGGGGGGGAGGGGTTTTGGATTTGTAGAGTTGTGCGTAGAACGATCTGGCTATTTTCACCATTCCCGAACCTGATTGGTCGACCCTGTTCTGATTGTCTGGGTCCTTCAACCCTTCGATGTTGTTATTTCTGGCGTTAGCTTTGATTTTTACGAAGAAGTGCTTTGTCATGAATTCGTTAAGGGTGTGGTCGGTCATCCTGGCTTGAATCTGCAGGCCTCTCAGTTCCCATCTCCTCCAGTCGTCGAGTTTTTCTCTTGTTGAATGGACTAGTTGGCTGTAGAAAGTGTTTGAGGGATCTGCGAAAAGGTTGTCCTCCACAAAAAGATATGGTGAGTTGAAGTTCTTCTTTTCTTATTTTTCGTTCCCCTGCAATGCTTCTGGATTCCGCTGAGACTGTTTGGGTAAGGTCTATATAAGTGTCAGTGAACCATTGATGTCTGTTGTCCAGTCTGGCACTGTTCTGTCTCGAGAAGAACCAGTTCCATCTGACTGCCTTTGTTAGTCTTTTGGTGACTAATAGGGAGTTGTTAAACCACCACTACACGGCCTCAGCCTCGCAGCAAAATAACTTGTCACCACAAGAAGTAAAAGGTGGGCTCGGGGCAGGGTCGGAGTGTTAGAAGGTTTTTGATTTTTTGGGCCCATGTCAAATCCGCACGTCCCAAAAAACAAAACATGCTTTGGCTGTGATTGCAGTTGGATACACTTTTTGGAGTACTCCGTGTGAGCCTGCCCTCAGTGAGGGCACTTCGGCAGAACGAAGAACACCGGGAGCAAGACTATCAGACAAAAAAAAAGAACAAAAAAAAAGAAAACCAACCAAACTTTAGCCGTGAAAGTGGTTGGATTCATTTCAACGGCTAGTGTGAGTATGCCCTCAGGGAGGGTGTTTTTAGCCCGAGGTGCACTGCCTTGCTGGCAGCGAAAGGAGGAAAAGAACAAAAGCAGAAAAATTGAAAAACAACAATGTTTCCCTCTCCCCGTAATAGCGGTCAGATGCATTATGGAAAGTGATCACTTGAGTATGGCCTCCACGACGTCCTTCCACGACATCATTGATCTCAGGCTTGTTTGTTCCTTTCTTTTTCTTTTTTTTTTACCCCTTCAGGTAGACTGTCGGCACCGGTGCCACTTCCGAAATTCCCACTGCAGGTACCCTCAGGCAGAAGGCTCGGAAAATAGCGGTGCACAGTGGGCAAGTAGGTTCGGGATTTTAGGTGCGGGTGGACTGGTGGTTTAATTCTGTAGAAGCCCCGACCTTTTTCCGTGGGAGAGTGAAAGTTTAGGAGCAGCTCTACCGGCTTGTGGTCAAGACCCCGAAAGGCCGCTGGTGGGCGGATCTCAGCCTGTTTGATTATTCCTTGGAGGTGCTTGGAGATTAGGAAGAAGTCGATCCGGGACAGCGACGTCCGGTTGGCCTGGTTCCTTTTTACCAATGAGAAAGCCTTTTTCTTTGGGTGCAGCATTCTGAAGGGGTCGACGAGGTCAAATTTTGTCATGATGTTTCTTACGGGGTTTCCTGCTCTTGTTGGGACTATCAGTAGAGAGCGAGAGATGCGGTCCAAGTTTGGATCCAAGGTCGTGTTCCAGTCTCCTGCGATGATCACCAGTTGAGGATTTGGGATGAGGGACTGGATGCTGCTGAAGAAGGCTAGGCGTTACGTTTTCTGCATTGGGGGCATAGATGTTAAGAATTCTCAGTTCCTTGTCTTGCCATCTGACGTCTACCCATGACCATCTTCCTTCTGCGTCGTCTCCCGCACTGCTGAGGATCTGACCTTCTGACCATAGTTTGGAAGCGTTAGGTACGAGTATGGCTGTCCCCCGTTTGCTGAGCCCTTCTGGGTCGAACCATAGTGCGAAAGCACAACCCCCCAGGCTCTTTTCTATTGCCCTTTTTATGTTTCCGTGGTTTGGGAGATTAGAACCACGTCTGGTCTGGGTTTGTTCCTGTCATAAAGACCTAGCGGGATGTCCCTTGCTTTATCTTCCTTAGTCGGTGCGTTACCCTACCCATTGATGTTCCAACTGATGATTTTGAGTCCCTTGGCTTGCCAGTCTGTCATGATAAGCTGTAGGAAATTCTAGTTAGTGTGGGCCTGTATTTTCCCAAATTTGCAGATGTGTCCCTCATGAATTTTCCTTACAGGCAGGTCTCTCGGTTAGCCCTCAGCCAAACAAAATTGCGAAACTAACCTACCTATGTTACAGCTTCGAGCCGACGGGTCACAGGCCGCAGATCCAGCAAGTCATTGCACCTAAGTCTGTTCACGCCTGTTTTCAGTCTGCTTGAGTCTGTACGTCTGTTTGTTTCTGTTTCGAGTTTGTTTGTTTCTGTTTCAAGTTTGTTTTGAGTCTGTTTCTAGTATGTTTTGAAATTTTGAGTTTGTTTTGAGTCTGTTTCATTTGTTCTGAGTCTGTTTTGAGTCTGTTTTTGAGTCGGTTTCGAGTTTGTTCGGAGTCAGTTTTGAGTAGGTTTTGAGTTTATTAGGTCTATTTGAGTCTGTCTAATTCTGTTCTGAGTCAGTTTCACGTCCGTTTGGGTATTCTGTTACGGGACTGTTTGAGTCTGATTGAGTCTGTTTGAGTCTGTTGAGCCTGTTTGAGCCTGTTTTGAGTACCTGTGAGTCTGTTTGGGTCTGTTCTGAGTTTGTTTGAGTTTAGTTCTGGTGAACCCTGAAAGCCTTTTATAAACGAAAATTAGCCCCGATTCGGACAGAGCCAGATGGGTATGCCCCTCTTGAAAAGAACAAAAGAAAAACGAAAAAAACAAAAAAAAAGGGACTGTTTCTTGCCTGCGCGGGTGCCCCCTGAGGTGACCCCTGGGCAACTTGCCTGAGGTGCACGGCCATGCTGCATGGCCGGGAGACCCAAGTAGCCTGGTTATACCCCTCAAAGATGAGATATATGCCAAAATGCCCCTAAATATCATGGTAGCGCAGAATACCCTTCTGAGAATAAAATAACCCAGGTCATCTTTTCGTTTTGCGCCTTCCCGGCCGTTGGAGGGGCAAATAGAACCACCATCTCTCTCTCTCTCTCTCTCTCTCACACACACACACACACACACACACACACACACACACACACACACACCACCGGGTACCTGTCCAAGCAAAATACCTGGTAGTTGCCAACTTTCAAAAGACCCAATTGATTTTCATTTTACCCCTACCAGCCCAGGTCATCTTTTCGTTTTGCCCCTTCCCTGCCCTTGGAGGGGCAAATAAGACCACCATCTCTCTCTCTCTCCCATCTCTCTCTCTCTCTCTCTCTCTCTCTCTCTCTCTCTCTCTCTCTCTCTCTCTCTCTCTCTCTCTCTCTCCCCCTTCCCCCCACGCCAGGTCCCACTCGCCCTGGGCACAAACCAGGTAAAACAAGTGCAGGCCCTGACATATGGGCCGCGGTCCACAACGCAAATTTCCGCACCCCCCTGACAGGGGCATAT